GCGCCGCTGTCCCCCGCGCTTCGGCTCGCGCGAGCTCGCCGCGCGGATCCGCCGTGGAGCGGGTCTGGGAACGCGCCCTTCGGCCGCCACCCCGGCGCTCGCAGGCGGTGTTCAACGCGCCTGCCGTGGGAGCCGCCGCGAGGGCCGAGTGCTGACGCTCTGTCCCCTTGCTGGCTTTCAGGGGGGCATTCTCGGTCGTGAGAAGATGTATGAAAATTACGACGGGACAAGAATATGCTGCCAAAATTATCAACACCAAAAAGCTGTCGGCTAGGGGTGGGTATATTTTCACTGTGTGTTTATGATGCTGCCTTTTGCCCTCTTTTTCATTCTTGGGAGTAAGCAACAGAAACAAACAAAATGTTTAAATATTTTTATTTTCATCATCATGTTTTCCTGTTTCCTCAAACGATATTTAGAATTGTCTGCTAATTAGCTGTTTCATAGATTGACCATATACAGGTCTGAGGTTGTTGCTGTAAAGTGTTTAAAGGAAAGATGTACAAATTCTTATGGGAGCATTCCACATGCTGGTTTTATGTGGGAGGTAAGGAAATAAGTTTTCATTATGGCTTTTATTTAAAACATTTATCTCAAAATTTAATGGAATTCCAATCCTCCACTTCAAATAAATGTGGACATTAAGCCATATCTGACTGTGAATGCCATGAGATAAAAATATCATTCACTGCCCTGGGCTATGTTTTGGGTTTGGTTACTACAGAAAGGAAAAAAGGGTTTTAAGAAGTAACAATTTGTTAACAAAGTTATTCTCATTAAGCGATGAATGACATGACTGTTACAATTGTAACACCTGCTATACCGGGTGTTTACAGCTTAGGTTTGGTGTGTATATTTTCGGTATATTTCTTGTACTATCCGTTCTGTGGGTATATGTTTATGATGCATTTGAAAAATTATGTATGTACTGAGGGTTACTGCTATTGAAAGCAGGCCTTAATGGTGATATGTCTATTCCTTGGTAAATCCAGGTCAAAATGCTTGTGCTAGGATGTCAGGGATTACGGATTATTCTCTGTTAACATTATCTCTGGTTTGATATGAAGTTGTTGTTCTGCAATGAATGTGGAAATTAATAAGCAAATCATGTTAGCAGGTAAACCTCTGTTTATGGCCTGGTTTACTTAAGATACCAACCAATCATTTCTGGTAAACAACAGTCTGAATTAGTACATACATTTATGCATAAAATTTTCCTAATGGTACTCTGGCACGTTCCACTAACATACTGTTTTCTGCTGCAGAGCTTTTAATTAATACTGTTTGATTTTCAGCTAATGAAAAGGATGTGATGCTTTACTTTTTACCTTACATTGACCCTTAGACTTCATATTTTCACTGATAAACGTGTTTTTCATTATTTATTTTTTAACCTATACCTAAATTGAGAATACTCATTTGTGTAGGATTTAGAGGGAGAAAGGTTAAGAACATGAGAATACTCAGGATGAAATATGTTGCCAATTAAAAAAGATTTTTTTCCTTTTCCTTTTCCTTTTCCTTTTCCTTTTCCTTTTCCTTTTCCTTTTCCTTTTCCTTTTCCTTTTCCTTTTCCTTTTCCTTTTCCTTTTC